AAGTGTTATTTCAAAATCTTGTAAAAATTCTTTTTTAACCATGTTATCATTGAATTCTACAATTAACTAGATTTTCTCAAGTTTATAATATACTAATTACGGGACACAAATCAAGCTTATCCAAATTAATAGAAGGAATTCTTAATAACAATTTGAGTGCGTTCATTGTAATCAACAAAATGAAAGATAATTAAAATTTGAAATCTAATTTGATGTTTGATATTGTTCAAAACAAATAAATTTTTACATTCTTGATTTAACAGAACACAAATCATAATTATAAAAAGAAAATTAAATCAAGAGTAGAGAATTAAAATTCAGAATTAAGAGATACGGGCATAATTATTTCCATTTGTTATCTACAATGAAGGATTAAACTTTAAATAACCCCTCTCCAATCAAAACATCTGCATACATAGTATACTCAAAGGAACAGTGATAGAGTATATATGTTTTAAAATTCTTATATCTTTCTTATTAACTATGTGATATGTGAAAGTGAGTTCATTCGTCTTGTACGGATTGACTCATCACGCGACGAATACGGTGTTGACGAATACGGTGTTGAGACGAATAAGGTAATGTGGTAAACTCTATGATGCAACTAAAACATTGTGACGTGTTGACACGATAAATGTTATGATATAACTAAAATGCGATAAATATTGTGACCCAACTAAAATGTGACACTAAATGCGACGAACATAGTGATGTAGTGGTAGGACGAAAGGATAACAAACGACTCAAGTGCAGTGACAAATGTAATGGTGCGACGAACAATTAATAATAAACTTGAGGGAACATTTGACTTATGACAGTGGAAAGTAGAGGTGGAGAGATAGGATAATATCTACTCCAGAAGTTCATTCTTAACTATTATTAATAAAAATAAAATAAAAATTCAAACTCAAACCGAATTAAATCAAATTAACTCAAGGATTACAACCTATTTAACACCTATTCTATTATCATGAATTTACACCAAATGAAACCTACAAACAACATCTAATATCAAAAATTTTCCTAATAAAAATTTTCCTTTAAGTCGTACACTATCTTCAGAACTTGGTTTTCAATGTTCGTCAAGTACTAATATTTTGTGAAACCCAAGTTGTTTTGATAATATTTCCATGATGATATATACCAAGTAGCTTGAATTTATTTTCATTTTCAATTTACAATGTTACGCTCAAATTGAGGCGAGGGCTTCAAGCTCTTTTTGGTTTAATTATGGTTTTATTTATGAAATTTGTGGAAATTCTAATATTGAATCTTCAGATTTGAAAAGGTTTATTTTAATCTTTTAAAATTAAAAAAAAAATCTTCTCCTAATATTTTGAAAAAGAATGGTTTTAATTTCTAAATATTAAATTAAAGGGATCAAAATTATTTTTTAGAGTTATTTTATTTCTTCACATATAGTGTTTAGAAACTAAAATTATATTTTATAAAATTGGAAAGATTGAAATAAATATTTTACTTTGAGAAACTTAAAAAATGATTTATCCTAAATTTCAAAACCAAAAAAATAAACAAATAAGTTTTTTTATATAAACTTTGTATTGATGGATCTTATGCTTCGTTTAAAGTTTTTTTTTTTTTTTTTTAAGAAAAAGTGAATTACCAACCTAGAGGTAATTATTAGGAAGTGGTAAATTAATATAAAATTTCACTTTCTTTATTTATATTAAATTTAGCTTTTAGTGGTGTCTGTACTAGAATCCATGTCAAACAGGCACTAGAGTGAAATTTGATGGTGAAAGCGTTTCCTGCTTCAACTTTATTTTTCTATTCACTTTAGAACTTGCTTTTGAGACTGTAATCTTCGTGATTACAGATATTCACAGCTCATTCTTCTCCTACATCTATTCAATAATCTATTTTTAGATTTTTATATTATTATTTATTTATTTCATTTCATTTTTTTTATCAATCAATTAAAAAAATATATTTTATGATTATATGTTTAGAAAAATTGAATGTAAACTTTGTTTTCCTTATCATTTCCATACAAAGGGCACACTATAATTATTCTCTTAACTTTATAAAATTAAAAGTATTAAATAAAATATAATTTTAATAATTTAAAAATTAAAATGCATAAAAATTCATACAAAATATATAAGGTTAATTTCAATCAGGGTTTTTTAACTGAATCAACTAAAAATCTATCTATGAATTTTAATTAAACAGGTATAAAATCAGTAAAACAAGAAAAACTTTGGATTGAACAAATTTTAATAAAAAAAAATAAAATTGTATTTGTTTAATACAAATTTTTTATAAAAAATGTTTTTCACTTTTTTCTTTATTTCATATCAATTATTTTAATTTTAAATAATAATTACTTATTATATTTTTATTTCATTTTAATTATTTTTTGTCTTATATTTTCTAATATATTTTATATTTATAATATTTGTAATTTATTAAAATCATGATTGTAATTTTTATTTTTTATAAAAGAATTATTAATATAATAAACCGATTATATATTTATTATATTATAAAAAATTTATTTATCAAATATAATTTAATTTTTATTAAATCTTTAAATCATGTACTCATGTCTTCACAAGATTAATTAGTGGCCGGGGTTTTGAAAATAGTCATTTTAATAATTCATTATATATATCAATAACAATTTTATTCTAAACATAAAAAAAAATAATGAAAAATATTTAAATTAGCTTTTGTTTTTAACATTGCATGAAACATTTTCATAACTGCCGTAAACCAACAATTTTATCAAAATTTCCTGTTTTTTTTTTCAGTTCTTTCAATGGCTTTCTTCAAACTTATTCTATAATTTATTTAAATTTGACACTAAAACCGATTCATCTGTCTCACTGCCCAGCTCGAATTTTATAAACAGCAATACCACCCAAACTCATTACAAAAATTTCAGATATGACAATTTAGCCATTACTTTTATCGATGTAAAGAGCTAATTATTTATTTACAGTCATAAAACTACTTTTTAAAAAATCAATTTTGATAAAATATATTCAAAATATCTTGACTTCAAAATCTCCATTCATTTTATCTTGGTATCTCGTAGCAAATACTCTTGTTGTGAAAAAGACAATGAGGTAACAAACTGTTGATAGAATCGGAACACTGCTGTAGATAAAATCAATGATCTATTTAAACATATATTGAAAGTTAAAATCAATGATCTATTTAAACATATATTGAAAGTTTGTAAAGTGCCTTTTTTTCTTACAAATACATCCGTTTATCATAACAATTACTTTTTAACTTTTTTTTTTTCTTGTAGCTTTTGTGCATATTTTTTTTTGGTATAGAAGCTACCTAGGCATGACAACAGGGTGGGGTGGGTTTTGCTTCTCTGATATCCGTCCCTGACTTTTTTAACAACCCTCGTCCCGCCCGATCCTCACGGGGTTAGAAATTAAGTTATCATCCACGTCCCGTTGGGTTTCGGTTCCCGTCCATCGCTTTCGGGTTCCCACCTCATCCTCGATTTATATTATTTTTAAAAAAATAATTACATTTATGATAAATTAATTTTATTATCTATTTTTTATATATAAATAAATATTTATAATTATTATTAATTAAATATATATTTTATTTTATTATATTTATATTAAAATATGTATGTAAAAAAATATTTAATCATTTTTTATTTATAATATTATTATTATTATAACACTCGTATTTAAATATTTGAATATTTATAACATTATTATTATAATACTTGTATTTAAACATTTGATTATATATATAAGTTAATTCATTTTTAAGTTGTTATTTAAAAATATAAAATATATAATTTACAAAAAATTATTTAATAAATTAATTCTTATTAAGTAATTAAAATTTAAATTATCAATTCCTTTAATCTTTTAAAATATAATTATTTTATTAAGATAAAATTTGATATATGATAAATAAGAATAATAAGATAAAAAAATGACATAATAAAACCTAATAAATATAAATTATAAATAAAATAATATTAATTACTACTCATATTTATGTAAAATATTTAGAAAAAAATAAAAAATAAAAAAAATTAACTTTATGTTCATCAAATTGATTAAAAAAATAAATAAATTAATGAGAAATATTAAGAAAATATGAAAAAAATGAAAAATAAGAAAAAAATAATATAATAAATTAATTGATATAAAAGATTAAAAAAGACAAAAAAATTAAAAAGTGGGTAAAAGAAAAAAAATTTAGTGAAATATAAAAAAATGACTTTATATGTAATAGAAAAAGAAAAGAAAATACTTTTAAAATATTAATATTTTAAAATTTAAATTTAAATATAAAGTCGAGAATGGAACGAGGGACGGGATTGCATTACACATTCCCGCCCCCGCCTCCTACTTTTTAAAGCGGGGAAAACCCAAACCTGCCCCCAGCCAACTCGAGTTTTCCCCGTCAAACTCGGAGTGGGGGACGGGTCGATCCCCACGGGGACGGATTTAATTGTCATCCGTAAAGCTACCTCAATGAGCTTCAAACGAAATTAATTAGTTTAAACTAAACTATACAAATTTGTCATACCCAAAAACTGATTTTGGTATCCTATGATTATAGCGCATGCAATCAATTATTGAGAATATCTATCTTCCACGATCCCAGAAATAGAGTTTAGAAATAGCCGAAATATAAAGTTTTTAATATATTTTTAGTTCAACAGATTTATGTTTTACCAGTACAAACAGCTGTCTCTTTGATTGCATACCAGGTCTGTACTAACATAAACATAGAAAAGTATTAAATGTCATGCAACAGCTACAAAGCATATTGAGGGGATAAGATAGCACAACATTTATTCACCAACCAGACAAAAGGGTCTCACTCTCAACACGCTCCCTTTACTTCCCCCAAGAACATCCATCCATCCATCCATCTTCCAAACAAACTACTTTCCAAGCTTACGCTTCACGGAAAATCAGTCAAAACCACACAGCTGGCACACCAAAACCTACCTATTTTTTGCATATTCCTTGTTTGTTTGCTTATGCTGCCGAACCAGCTTGTTCACATAGATCCAACAGATCCAGAGTCTGCAATATCGAATAACAAAACTCACCCATCAAATAGAGAGAAACCAGCAGCGACAAATCAATGTCAAAGAACATTTTTTTAAGTATAAAAAGAGCAATACTCAAACTATACCTCTGGAACTGACAGCTCAAGACGAAACTTTGGACCATCATAATGATGCAATACTGGCCTGAACGAATCTTCTTCCAATGCCTTGCAGAGTTTCCTGACACGAATTCTTACCTACGAGATGAGGAACAAAATATTGTTTATTCGACAATTGAAAGACAGCTAGTATATGGACTTCCTCTTTTCAAATTTTTAATTCTACCTGAGCTGGAAACCTTGATTCGCCTTTGCATTTTTTATCCTCCCAAGCAGTTGGATCTATGTTAGAGCCACCAAAACTTGCTGCCTGCAACATAGTAAATTTAACTATCTATCATCAACTTTTTCAATTTTGGACATTAGCTTTGAATAGTTGTCATCAATACAATACAAAAGGAGGCAAGAAACTATCTAAATAGTCATTTTTATCCTATACATTATGTAATCCCATCACTAGCTATGCCACAGAAGCCGAATACAATTCTTGATCATATAACCCCTCTAGCATCAACATATCAGTTAACATAACAAAAAGCCTTTCCAATTAGATTATAATATCTAAAAGTAACCTGATCTAAACTTGTCCTAAATGTATGTAAAACAGGACAGAAGAACGTTCTGCATTTGTGAAATGAGACAATATTCCATACCTGTAACATGTTTAACACAGACTCTAACGATTCAGAAACACAAAGGCTTCATAGCTAATTCTTGAGTCTTGAGAAATTACAATTAGCCTCATTTGGTCTCAATATCATTTAAACTGGGGACACAATTTCAATATTTCATAGTCCCAAAATAAGATATATACAGCACAGTCTGAAGCACAACATAGTTAACTGAAGTTAAAAATTTTAGAAAAGCTTACCTCAAAAATACCATGCAGCTGATGAGTAGTATAGTTGTAAAGAAATAAAGGTAACCCTGGTGTTATTGCCCTAACAGAATCTCGATACCTTGGAGGCAAACCTACCAAAAAAGAATGAGAGAGTCAGTCATTACAAAGTATTTGATTAATAATCTTTAAGAGAGAGAAATAGATGCCCCTTAATATCTAATAAGCACATACCAAATAGCTGACGTTTCAAGTCTTCCTGCATTGTGTCATTGTTACAGACAAAGATGTATCCTCCAAGCACCTCATTGCGTGGGAGCGTCTCTGCTGCAGGCAAGGTCTTAAACCTTTTGTCAGTAGCATTTGAGTTGTTGTTCTCATTGTTGTTGCCGTTGCCACTGTTGTTGTTGGACTCTTTGTTGTGCTGAATATTACCACTATACTTGTTACTGTTCACATTACTCACCAGGTTTGCATTGTTTTTCTGGTACACTGCATTCACACTATAAACACTATTGCGAAGTGAGCCTTTGCTCACATTTTCAGTAAATTTTGAGTCCAGGTTCAACATGCTCAAGTTGAGAGAATCAAATTTGTTCTCTTCCTGGAACCCAAATTTATCCCTTGACCTTGTTTCAATGGGCCCCTTTGAAAGATCAAGGTTATTCCCACGCTCCCCCTTCAACCTTGTCTGTTCAGCCAACTTAGAAGCAACCATTAACCACTTGTGATCCTCTGACGCTTTTGAATGTCCACGGAGTTCATCACCCAATTGCCAGAAGCTCTGCATGTTTTCCATCTCCTGAAACCCTAACAAGTTATAAACACAATATAAAACTTATTAAGGAATTAATCGAGAGAAAAATACAACAAGAAACAGAGCATAGTTTGCAAACATGCAATTGAGAAAAACAAAAATACTTCAAAATCTTCCTTTTAGGTGCTGACACAGGTCAAACGTTTGACTAGACTTGTAACTGCTCACAACAGCATTCAACAATATTTGCCATATAGTTGAGTAAGTACCATTGCCAACTACAGGCAATCAATAATTCTTACTTCAAGTTTTAAATTTACGAACTAATAAAGGCAATTGATTATGCATTTCATAGTAGTGGGGTTTTGCCACTTCTGATAACCCCACCAATAATAAAAAGGATATAACATAATTCTAGTAATTTCTAATTCTGACCACCACTTACAAAGCAAACAAAAGAGCTCCCGAATCTCATAATCCATTTTCAAAAACACGGGTTTCTTCCCTTGACTTTCATGCAACCGCACGAAATCCAATTAACCATACACACAGCAGCTAAACCCTTACACAACCGACATCAAATTGAGAAGGTAGCAACGCAGTTCAATTCAACAAAAGAACATAGAAATGGAAAAATAAAACGTTCGCTCACATCTCGTACAAAAATTCGCACACACCGAAAATTAAACATCACAACCAAAATCACGGAAGGAAATCGAAGATCCTAAATGAGCATTCACAGTTACAATAAGAAATTACCAAAACCAGCACAGTGAAGAGAGCAAAACACGACTTTAATGAAGGAAGGTAAACGGAGATACCAAATCGAGAACTGATCACGAAAATTAAGTCACTGATTCAAAGAATTCCGCGGAAAGAAGACGAAGCCCTAGATTTAGGGATCCGAAGACGAGAGGAGAGAGAAAAAGAGAGTACCTTTCACGACTTCGCTGTGAAACTCGAAGACGCCAGTGAGAGAGGTAAAGAAAGAAGGAGGAAAGAGATTTTAATAAGGTTTTGCTTTTGTGCTTTACGTAAATGTCCGTTCATGTTTCAGGGAATTACGGAGTTGCCACTGTAGATTTTGACCTTTTCTCTTCAACTTAATGTTAATCAGGTAAATTACTAACTTTGTCTTTAGAATGACACAAATAATTTAGTTCTCAAATTTGCAAATAAAAATTAAATTAATCTTTAATATTGTTATTATAGTTTCTAATTAGTATCAGATCAGTTTTTCAAAATCACAGTTTAATAATAAAATTGCCCTAGAAAATCTAATAATAGATGTAATTGAACTATTTATCTTATTATCAAGAACAATTTATATAAATGAATAAGTTTATCTTTAAATAAATTAATGTTGTTATTTTATTTCTTAAAGAACAAAATATTTCTTTTAATTTTATAAAAAATTTAAAATTACATCATATAAGAATATTTTGTCATTAAAAGAAAATTTTAAGTATAAGATCGATAATAAATTAGAGACTGTTTGTAGAACTAAAATTACAAATAATTCAAAAAATTAAAGACTAAAATTGTAAAATAAAAAGTTGAAAAACAAAGTTATAGATTTTGTAAAACATATAGTACCAAAATTATTATTTTAAGTTTTATTTTTTAATTGATTTGAACTTTTGTGTTTGGGTCGGTGGAAATGAGAGGGTGTATACATTGAATGTGGAGTGTACAGTGAAGAAGTTTCACGTGGCCCTCGCGCTCAGAGGTTGCCGGAGATGATGCGCCATAAATTGTGTTTGACCTACATAACGTGAATGAGTAAGTGAGCTCAAAGAAATTTTCATTTTAAAATGTAGAGAAAAGAAAAAACAAAAAGAGGTTTGTGAAATAAAATATTAAAATTGGAAAATATTCTTTTAGAATTCAAAAGAATGAACTTTTTCTCCAGAATCATCAAATAAGAAACAAAAATATCCATTTTTATATTTTATTTTAGTAATTTAAAACTAAATGATTTTATAATAAAAATAGAAAATAATGTAAATTTTTACCTTAAAAATAGTGAGTATTTTTTTTTGGATTAAGTATATTCTTTCCTCAAAATTTAGATACGCGTAAAATTTATTTTAAATAAAATATATTAAAACTACTTGATTAATTTATATTTTATTTTGATATATAAAAGAAAATAGGTTCAGATAAACATATTTAACCAAACTTAAACTTAATTATTAATTAAATTAGATTATGATAACCATTTTCAATATTATATAAATGTATAAAAATATTTATTTTCTCAATTATTATTCATTCACAATTAAGTAAAACTTTAATTATGGATAATTAAAAATTGGAATCATTAGTTGATTTAGTCAATAAATCTGTTAACATTTTTTTAAGTCCACTATCATGCATATAACTGTAAATTCACATTCTTTAACTAACTATTCAATTCTTTAAGTTCATAGTTATAGAAATATATTTAGTAAATAAACTAATATTTAAAATAAATTTGGTAGAGATAATATTCATCCAAAATGTTTGACTATTGTAATGTGTTAATTCTTGCATGCAGTAAGGATAAATTAATTTAATTTTCTAAAATTAAATCAATTTGTTTAGAAAAATGTATAACATAATATTTTATTCAGTTCAATTTGAATTATTTTAATTAATTTCAATCCAATAAATTTAATTAACTAATTAATTTAATTTAAAAAGGCAATATCATATTAATAAAACAAATATTATCATTTACCATCATTAATCAATATAAATGCACAAATTTAGGGTAGTTTCTATTTCAAGAATATTAAACATCATAAATTTATATTTTTTTATACTCTTATAAATTAAGATTGGAATGGAAACCATTTATATCGATCTCTTAACTTATGATAATCCATAAATATGAAAATCGTTTATAATTACATTGTTGAAACTAATATTTTTCACTTTTTACAACATTTTATAAAAAAATAAGTCACTTCTACATTACACTAAAAAAATTATATAGTTAAAAGATAATGTTCTATCATATTAATATTTCCTTAGTATTAGAATAAATCTATGAAAAGACGGATCCTTAAAACTAAGTTCTAAGAGAGTAGATTGTAAAATCTAGAGTTAAGATTTTACAAAAGAAGAAATGAAAGAGAATCAAAGTTTGCAAATAATTCTTTTGTTCATCAACTTTTTTTATATCTTCTTTCTTTCTTCTCTTATTGATCTTATAGAAATGATTGTTATCTCAATAACTAGTTCTTACACTGTCATGTATTGTTAAGCATGTTTGAGAAACCTTGGTTTTCACGCATTAAACGTTTTTATTGTGGTAGATGACAAAAATAAATAAATAAATTTCTTTTAGTTTCATTTTTCTTTGATAGTTCACACTCAGGGCGATCTTAGGATTGCACTACACCCCAACCCCAAACCAATTATATATATATATAATAAATATAAAAAAATATTTCTTTTTATTTTTTATTTCTAATAAATATCATATTTATTCTTTTACACAATTTTTTACTTATATTTATTTTCTCTTTCTTTCTTTTATTTTTAGATTTTTATCTTCTTTTTTTCTTACCTTTTTCATTTTCTTGTTATAATTTTTCTATCAGACACCTATTTTATTTTTTTTACACATTTTTATTTTTTATTTTTTATCATTAGTTAATTTTAGTATTTTTCTCTTTCATGATTTTTCTTTTAGCTTTTAAATATTTTTTTATAATTTCATTTCTATAACATAAAATTTTTGTTTTTTTATCTAAGAAGATAATTTTTTTATAATTTCATCTATATAACATATAATCATTTTTTTTTAAGTTTGTTTGTCTTCTGTTCATGAAGTTACAAGAACACAAAATAAAAAAAATAAAGGAGTTTGAATTAAAAAATAGTAAAGAAATTTATTTTATTTATTATAATAATTAGTACGTGTAGTGTAATATAAAAATATAAAATATTGATATTTTTTATTTGTTATAAGTTAATTAATTATTTTAATATTTTATGATATTCTATTTTAATGTTAAATGTGAAAAAAAATCATTTTGAATTTTAAAGATATCTAAAAATAAAATTATAGACTATTTTAAAAGAAAAAAAAAGGATAAATGAAATAAACTTTATTTAATAAAAATTTAAATCTAATCAACAATATTATATATATATATAATATTTATTTTTATATAATATTTATTTTTTATACATTGATCACCTCATTTAAAATTTCTGATTCCGCTTTTTCTTTTTTTAAGTAAGAATGTGACTTTTCTATTTTCCTTATATCTATGATTTCAAATGAGATTAAGTTTTATTTTTATTTGTTTTTTGCCACCATAGGAAACTCCTTCTTTCTTATGGAGTTTGTTAGAAGTAACTTTGGCAAATCCTAGGTTGAAGTATTATATTAAATATACAAATAAATTATTAATTAATCATTTTAAGTTATATAATAATTCATTAGTACATGCTACATTCTTTTTTAAATGCTAAACAATTACATTATTTGTCTAAATTTCAGCATCAAGCTTTGCTTTATACAAGTTTACTGTTTATGGTTTTATTTTGCATGAACTATTAGTGCATCTAATCTAGTATTTATTTTGGAAGAGTAAAAGTACTTTATCTAATTATTTCTACATGTAGAATAATGTCTCTGAAATGTTAAAGAATATCAATAATAAGGTATTTTCTGTCTAAATATCAAACTTTACAATATTTTACAATTCAAAATATAAAAAAAATACTCTACAAAAGAAAGAATATATAAAACTCTAAAAAGTTGTTGGGATACACTACCTACTTTATGCAAGTTAGTGATTATACAAAAGAAAGGAGACATGTTGGTAAAATGGATAAGTAATGCATTAAATACAAGTCCATCAAAGCCTCTCAATGTTTAAGAATAATAGGTACATAATAGACAAATTATAAAGAAAATAAAAAGCATTGTCACAATAGTTAATTTTAAATAAGTACAGAGGACAACAACTTCTTTGCATAACTTAGTATATATAGAAGAGAAAAAAAAAGAATATAAATTTTACATATACTATCTAAGAAAA